ACTATTGTCATAGGCAAATATTCTGCCTCTAAACGTTCAGTATTTGTAGCTATCACAGCCTGAGGCCAGCCCTGGGAAAGGTCGGCACGGAAATCGCTGGTTGAGCCCTCTGTCCTGGATGGTGCTCTGTTTCTCCAGGGATGCTAACTGTCCCGAGCAGCCCACTGCTTCGAGGGCACATGGCCAGGCATACCTTCCCTTCCAGCACAAAGCCAGGTGAACACCTGACCATTTCACAGTTGGGTATGTTGACCATTACTGTGCTGTAACCTAGGTGGCCCTGGCGGGGGACACATATCCTAAGGGAGCTGCTTCTCCACTCCCACCAACCGCCCTTCCTGTAAAGAGTCCTGAGTCAAAGCAGATGGTCTGTCCACACATCCCGTGCCTGGACACCCCCTTGGCTGTGTCCCTGACATGAAAGAGACCCTGAGTCAGCACTTCTCAGAAGGCAGGTAAATAGAGAGGAGGAATGAAGGAGGGAACGCAGAGGAAGAGGGGGGAGCTGAGAAAAGGAAGAGATCAAATCGTCCACGCTGAATCTTTAATGGAGGGTAAGATTACGAAGTTTGATGACGCGTATCCCGTGTCACGTTGGTCCACTTGCACACCGTATTGGAACATTTTGCCTTCGGGTTGTGCTATGAATTGAAAGGAAAAGAATTTCCCCAGAGACAGGCTCCTGTGGCTCAGACGCGGAATCTCGTGCCTTTGGACCTCTGTCCAGTAAAGCGCCACCCTTCTGGAAGCAGAGAAACTCAGGCCCCCCGGTGCTGGGCCGTCTGCATGTGGAGCCTGAAAATGGAATAACGGATGGCTTCGCTGTGCCTTTGTGCTTTAACAGGCTTGGAAATCTCTTAAAATGTGCCTGGAAGCAAATATCAGGTCCTCTGGGGTTCCCAAGACTAAAACTGCCCTGACCTGAGTGCAGAGTGCCGGTGGCTGCACTTGTAGAACGCACAACCTAGAAGACACAACCCCAGTTTGGGAATATCCGCCAACTGGGAGGCAGGATGGGAGGCAGGCTAACTCGGCTGGGCCAAGATTGGAGACGCGGAGTGAGAGGGAAAGTTAGACGGGAGAGCAAAGGTGGCATTAGGCAGTGAAAAGGAGGCTTGGAGGCCAGAAGGACAACTTTGAATTCAATTCAACTGAATTTAATTGTCAGCACTCTGGGAGTCCTTAACACATAGTCATGCAATTTAGAAAAAGTGCCCTCTTTTTTTTTTTTTTAATATTTTTATTTATTTCTAGGAGAGAGAGACAGCGTGAGCAGGGGAGGGTCAGAGAGAGAGGGAGACACAGACTCTGAAATAGGCTCCAGGCTCTGAGCTGGCAGTCAGCACAGAGCCCGACGCGGGGCTCGAACCCACGAACCGCGAGATCATGACCTAAGCGAAAGTCGGACGCTTAACCGACTAAGCCACCCAGGCACCCCGAAAAAATGCCCTCTTGAATTGAAGGCCAGGCAAGCAGTCCCCATTGGCTCCATTTGTTGGGTACTCAGGTGCAGTGCACAACCCATATAACTGTATATGACAAGCCTGACTGGTTAAGAACTTAATAGCAGAAGATGGTGTGGCAAGTGGGATTGTGAGAAAATTCCATGTAGAAACCTAAAGTAAGAGTTCCATAAGATTTAAGAAAAGTTAGTGGCTCGTTGATCTATTACTATGTACAAACCAACCCAAAACTCAGTGGCTTAAAACAACAATCATTTTATTTGCTCACAGTTCTGTAATATAGCGGGGCTTTGGTCGGGATGTCAGTGGCACCCCTATGCCCGCATTCAACCCGTGGATAGGCCAGGGCTGGGCTCAGCTGGGGGCCTGGGACAGCGGGGCCTCTCTTCTTCACACAGACCCTCCAGCAGGGTAGCCAGAATTCTTACCTGGCTGCTCAGGGCCTCCAACCACAGGCAAAGGTCAGTCCTAAGGCCTAAGCTGCGAGCTGCGAGTGTGCTCCCTGTTCTTCCACCGCATTCTGTGATGAAGCCAGCTCAGATGAAGGGGAGGGACTACCCAAGGATGTGAGTACTAGAAAACAGGCCCACTGAGGCCACCAGGACAACAGCCTGCCACATTCCGTTAGGGAGCCGTGACGGCCAGCCAGGGAGGGGTGAGGACCTCTTTGGAGGGCAGCCTTTTTAAGGGTAATCCCCTATCTTCCTTTTTAAGCATTTTCTCACAGTTACTTATGCTTGACTTGAGGTATAGTATATTCCCCAGTCAGTTTATCATTCTAAGCATATTCAGCTAAGATTAATGGCCAAATAGTTTATGTTATCCAAAATCAAGTGTCATAAGTTTCTATAGGAATAGGCCTCATGTGGCGCCTGGGTGGCTCAGTCGGTGAAGCGTCCAACTTCCGCTCAGGTCATGATCTCATGGTTCGTGGGTTCTGGCCCCACGTCGGGCTCTATGCTGATGGCTAGCTTGGAGCCTGTTTCAGATTCTGTGTCTCCCTCTCTCTCTGACCCTCCCCTGTTCACGCTGTGTCTCTCTCTCTCTCTCAGAAATCAATAATAAAACATTAAAAATTAAAAAAAAAAAAAAAAAGGAATAGGCCTCAGGACACCTGGGTGGTTCAGTCGGTTAAGCACCTGACTCTTGATTTCATCTCAGGTCATGATCTCACGGTTCATGAGATCAAGCCCCATGTCAGTCTCTATGCTGACAGTACAGAGCCTATTTGGGATTCTCTACCTCTCTCTCTCTCTCTGCCCCTCCTCTGCATGTGCACCCTCTCTCTTTAAATAAACTTTAAAAAAAGGAATAGGTCTCATTTTTATATATTTATTTATTTATATAAAGAATATATAAAGAATTTATATAAAGAATATATACAGAAATATACATATATGTATGGTCAGAATATAGGATCAGAAAATGAAAGCACTTATAAACTTAAAAAAAAAAGTTTTAAGTCTTACCATCTTGTTATAACGTGCCAGCTTTTAGTTAATTCACACCCACTATAAACAGGTTTTACCAATACACTAAGCTCCTCCCCAAGTGACCTGTGATGAATCTTGCTTGAACGTACATCCTTGGGACCCTGTGGGTCTTTATTCTGATCACTTCTTTTTTTTCACTTCTGCTCTTGTTCCCAATCATCACTTTAAAATGATCTTTGAAAGAACTCTCTTTCTCATTTGATCCCCACCAATCTTGTATGGATCAGTTCACTGTCATCTAAAGTCAGAGCAGTGAGAGGGGGCTGTGTGGTGAGGACAGAGGGAGAGAGGAGGGTTGTTCTGTGCCTGTTTTGTTCACTGCTCTACCTCCTTCAGCAATCGACTCTCTTTGGTTGTCCCCAGAGAGTGAGCCACATGTGGCAAATGATCAATCAGTGTATTGATCCAGAAGCAACCATCCCTCCTTCTACCTCAGTCACCCTCACGATATATCAGGCTCACTCATGTGTTATGTGTTGGTAGCATGAGCGAGTTTTGCTGTGGTAACAGGTAACCCCCCAAACTCTTATTGGCTTGTGACACAGACTTCCCTCTCGGTCACGTTCCAACGTCCTTTGAAGTTGGCCGGGGGCTCTGTTCTTAGTTTCTCAGGGCCTCAGGCTGACAGAAGCTCCATCCAGATGAGTTTACCATGGCAGGTGGAAGATGGCAGGGTGGAAGGTGTGTTGTTCCTCAGCCTTCCAGTGCAAGTTACACATCCACTTCTGCCCACACTTCATTGACCGAAGCAAGTCACACACTCTTTCCCAGCTTCCTATCAGGTGGGGAAAGGCAGACCTAGCACGTGCCTGCATGACAGCCAGACTCTTCGTGAGCAGCCTTAATACCTACTGTGCATTCTAACGTTTGGTGTGGACCTTCGGTCTTCCCCTTTAGTACAATGTGAGCTCTCACAGGGCAGGGATCAATTCTACAGAGTTACTCTGCCTCTATCACCTAGCCTGGTGCCTGGCACACCGAAAGTACTTAAGATTTATTGAATTAATGAATTAATAACTTGTCTCACTTAATGAGGAAGTCAATACAAGAACGCAGCGGCTTTGGCTTGTGTTGTGTGGTCAGTGGTCAACTTTGCTGTACCACCATCCACTTCTTTTCCCTTCCTTTCCTTCCTTTCCCATGATCCCACTTGAGTTTTCAATGAGAGGAACTTGCCTGAGCTTTGGAAGATGGAAATGAGGAGAGGCAATTATCCTCAGGAGGTCACAGGGCTCAGACTAGACACCAGGTTCTCGGGCTTCCTAGCCAGCACCAGACTCGGCAGGAGATTTCCCAGGGATTCTTGAGAATGGTAGCAGTTTCTCACCACACTTTGGAGAAGCACCCACCTCGGTGTTTGAGGCTGTTCTCCAGCTGTTTCTGTGACCTTCCAGCTGCTTTCACCCCCTCAGCTCTTCTCACTTCAAGTAAGCCCTAACTCCCATATTAAACCTCTATTCCCATAACATCCAGAGTCATCCTTTATCTTTCCCAAGAGTTCAATGAGAAATTTTTGGAGGGTTTGGTCATACTCCAAAGAAACATGTTACTTTGACTCTGGAGGGAAACTCTCTATGTAAGATCTGCTATTCTTTCCCTCCTCCAGTCTGAGCTGAAAAGGGGGCCTGAAGAATGGTTTCAGACTCCGTGTCATTGGACTTGCCAGCAACCTGCCTCGTCTCTCCATGCACTGACAGCCTCTCTCCTGGACAGAGGTGCCACTCTTATTCATGACAAGTAAATTAGGAACAGGTGTAGCTAGAAGCAGTAAATTTTCCAAGGTTTGCGAGAAGATTGGCAAACGTGCCAGAGACCTGTCCCTCCTGACCTAAAATTGCATCATCTTCTGACTAAATTCTCAGTGTCCTGGCTCGTCCCTTCCGGCAAAGCATGTTATTTCCCTCTGCTCGGAATCTGAGGGAAACTGCTCCCGTACCCTGCATATTGATGCCTGACTGAATTGTGGTTTCCGGGGCATAGATCGCACTGTTCAAGAATGCATATTTTCTCTCTAAATCCTTTCACTCCTTCCGAGTGGAAAATGGCTCGCTATTTCTATGCTGTAGCTCGAAGAGCTGATGGAGAGAAGCCTCACACCTCTGCAACAGCGGTGGGTGGATTAAGCCACTACTGGAAGTAAGTATTGACAAATTTCACAAAAAAGTGCAGCAGAATTCTCACTGCTGGTGCAGGATTAGGTCACCTGGGTTGCTGGCATCAGAGCCCACCCCCATCTATGATTCAGTATCTACAGCCCCCAGGTTTAGCTTTTTTATTTACTTATTTATTTTAATGTTTGTTTATTTTTGAGAGAGACAGAGTGTGAGTGGGGGAAGGGCAGAGAGAGAGGGAGACACAGAATCCGAAGCAGGACAGAACCTGAGCTGTCAGCACAGAGCCTTACTCGGGGCTTGAACCTAGGAACCGTGAGATGATGACCTGGGCGGAAGTCGAAGGCTTAACTGACTGAGTCACCCAGGTGCCCAAGCCCCACCCCCAGGCTTAGCAACAAATATTTTCTGGAGGTCATTCTGCGCTCATTGCTGTCCCAGGCTCTTGTGGGGGGTTTCCCATGGCTGCTCCTTCTCTGTCTCCTTGGACTTTCCCCTTCCTGTCAGTCATTAAATAAATACAACCCTGACGTGATTAGCTAACTGGCTCTTACTGTGGTGCCTGCAATTTCTCTCATCTAGCTAACCATGCAAATCTTCTAACTTCCACCAGAGGACAGCACCTTCACACAGATGGCCCAGTTCTGGTCCGCATGGAGAGCAAAGCAAGAACCATCCACACCTTCATACTAAAGGTGAACGGGAATTGGGATGAGCGACACCTGTCCAGATTCGTGTGCCCAAATTTCAAGTATGTGCGTGCGAGTATCTGTATTCATGGATGGAGCTAAATGTGCGTGCGAGTATCTGTATTCATGGATGGAGCTAAATGTGTATAACCACAGCTTGGAAGCTACAGAAAGGGTCGAGTTACTACTGAGTAACAACCACATACCAGAAATGTGTTTCTTGTTTTATGAAAAAACTTATTTTCAACGTTTATTTATTTTTGAGAGACAGAGAAAGAGCACAAACGGGAGGGGCAGAGGGAGAGGGAGACACAGAATCTGAAGCAGGGTCCAGGCTCTGAGCTGTCAGCATAGAGCCCGACACGGGGCTGCAATTCACAAACCGTGAAATCATGACCTGAGCTGAAGTTGGACGCTTAACTGACTGATCACCCAGGTGCCCCTAATTGGTCTTTTAATAAGGGATTATTTGTAACCAATACTTTTACATGAAGACCAGTGCCAATGAAATGCATTTGTCTTAATGCTTAAAATAAGCATTTCACTCTAATTTTGTTGGCCCCATTTAGTTGGCTGATAAACATCTTTTTGTTAATAGTAATATATAAAGAATAAATAGAGGAACTGCATCCAGGCAAATTTTATTTTAATGATCTGATGATGAGAGAGGGATGTAGCGGAGAATATTCAAATTATTTCCTTGCAGTTAAGACATTCTGGAATTGAGCTGCAAATTTAAAAAGCATTAGCTTCTGATCCATTTGTTAAATTGCCCACATGCATCCCAGGGTTCTGGGGCGCTTTATTTGCAAACAGTAACAGATTTGCAAATAGGAGGTATCGTGCAAAAAAATGGGAGCCCTTCACAGGGTCCAAAATAGAGATGTGTGAGAGTGTTGACTTCTCTTTCCTAGCCTGGGAAGTGGCCTCCCAGGGGACAGATTGCCACGGGACAGATGGCCAGAGACAGCAGGACTGGATTGCCACAGGGGTTCTGAACACAAGGTCGGGGTTGGCCGTTGTTACTCTCCCCACCCCCGCACCCCTTATTTTTTTGACGGACAAAGACCAAGACCAGACCTGACTGCTGTGACAAATGAGGAATTCAGTCGGGGTCAAGTGCCTGGTGCGTGAGGAATTTTAAAAGATGAGAGGGGAGGAAAGGAAAGGGGCTGCAGGGAAATTGTAGACACATCGCGAAGGATTACCAACCAACAGCTATGAATTCTACCAAGTTCCAGGCAGCAGTCTAGACAATTTATCGACTCATTCAGTCCTGATAGTAGTGCTGAAGTAGAGAGGAGTTCGAGGCCTCCACGATCGGCCTCCACCCGCTTTTCCTGCCTCCCACAGGAGGTCACCGGGCCTTCCCTCTAGCCACCCACACCCCCAAGGACAGTGAGAGCAAGGGCAGAGATGGGGAGCAGGTGGGGGGAAGCAGGCACTGGCCACCTGTCCCACTCTGGCCACTGCTCCACAGCCAAACACAAGAAAGCGGGTTCCTCTGGGCCACCGAGGGAGAAAGGGTACGAATGTGAGGTTAGCCCCACCCACCGCCTGCTTCTGACGGTCACAGTGGGCCCCAGTCGGCTCTCTGGCGCCCCTGGGCAGCCGGGCCTCAGTGCTGTGCCCGCCCAGCGTCTGGAAGGGAAGAGGTGCGGGGACAGAGGCTGCCCTACTAGGGGCCGCTCTGCCTCGGGACCGCGTGGACCCAACGCGCCTGGAGGAGGGCAGCCAGGGGCTGGGGAGGAGGCCCCGAGACCCAGCCCAGCCTCGCTCAGCAGCCTCCGCCTCGTGGGCAAACCCCCAGGCCCTCCACCTTCTGAGATTCCTGCCCACCCCTGTGCTTGGCAGGGCTCTGGGGGTCTGCCCGCAGCTGCCCCCGAGCCCGGTCAGTCCCGCCCGCTCGCCTTTCCAGGCCATAGTACTTTCCCTCTGTGCGGGTCAGGATCCAGCCCCTACCGAGGGGCGATGGGTATGTCTAAGCAGGGGGCTATAACTCAGGGGCTTGCTCACCACGTGTTGGAGGAGTCAAGGCGGCAGGCACGGCCCTAGGGGAGCCCCACTGGCACCGCAGGACCCACCTGCGCTCCTGGGCTGGGGGCCTAGAGGACCTGTGTTGCTAGAAGCTGGACCAGAGTCGGGGACCAGGAGCTGGAGGGGCGGCCTCCGCTAGCAAGCATCCCACGTGCCCTCAGCAGGCCCTCCGGTGTCTCCCAGCCCCCCTTGGCCCAGCCTAGCCTGTGGGGTAACCCACCCCCCCTCAACGGCTCTCATTGCTGGACTTCTCTTCACTGCTGGGCACTTCGTTTTTCTCCCGTGGCCCTCAAAACCACCCTGGGCTGACTTATTTCACTTCTGTGATGGCAAGACACAGAATATTCAACCCAACCGGAAAGAAGAGGCAAGGTGAAACCCAGATGGATTTGGATCTAAAATGCAAGGGGGGTCGCATCCTCCAGAGAACCCCCGGCTGCTGCTCATTCTCCGGGAGAGAATTCGCCGACCCAGGACTGGGCTCTCAGTACACAGTCATTGAGTCCGATTCTGAGCCATTGGGCACTGGGAATGAGTTCAGCGGGTTTTCTTCCTGACGGCTGTCCAAAGAAGGGACACTGTAAAAGGGCACCTCCCAGAAAGACCACGGGCCACAGAAGTGCCTGATGGTAGGGAGGTTCCCGGGCCTCAGCCTCAATGTTCAAAGAAGCTCCCCCAAATGATCGTCAGGCGTTCCGGAGTCGGTACCCGCTGGGAGAGAGCACCAGCCAGGGGACGAGGGCACTAGAGACAGACCTCCTCACAGCCCTGGGGGATGGACGCTGATGCCAGGGGGCTGACCTGCCCAAGGCCAGGCCCCCAGAGGCCAAGAGTAAACCAGAAGTGCTGGGAATGCACTCATGTCATCTTTCGTTCACCCAGAAAACATGCACCAAGCACCCAGTGTGCTGGGTAGTGGGAAGACCGTGGTCAGAGAGACCGTGTGGCCCTGGCCCGGGTCAGTTCCTGGCTGCCTCTGCTCCTCAGGGACACGGCAGGGGTGGTGGAGGGAGGGGGAGGGGAGGGAGGAGGGGGAGAGCGGCAAGAGTTGGGCACTTGGCCCCATAAGAGAGGAGAGCTGTGTGTGTATGTGTGTGTGTGTCTATCTGTATGTGTGTTTCTGTATGTGTGTTCTGTCTACCTGTCTGTGTGTGTGTATGTCTGTGCCTCTGTGGGTATAGTACAGCCACATACATGTGCAGCTTTTGGTTATCCTAAAAACCAAAGAGACTGCATGTGGAAATTAAACAAACCCATTATGCAATTTATTTATGTTGATAAACAGTGTATGTGTTTATACCGACTAATTAACCAAAATGATGCCCTGTGCTGAACCTCTAAGCCATGCTCCATCACTAATAACTGAGATTTAGGCACCTGACAGTGGAATCAAAGCCCGAGCGGCCCTCTGGGATGAGCATCCATGAGTCCCCATGTGTCCCCCGAGACAGCAGATCTCGGGCAGGCTGCAGGCTGAGTCTGTGGCTTCCAGGGTCCCGCCCTGCCTGATGGGGGCTGTGACTTGTGCCACCTAGCAGCACAGACCCCATCTGCACCTTCCCTCGCTAGGGGGAGGGAATGACGAACAGGACAGTCCTGAGGACTGTATGTCCCCTCTATGCCCCAAGCTGGCATCTCTGTCCTTTTCTGTCTCCCAGTTCTTGGGGCCCCTGGACAGAGGGACAATCAACCAACCAAGCACTAAGGGAGGGATGGGCTCTCTCCCTCCCTTCTTTCCTCTCTGTCTTCCCCCTTCCTTCCATCCTGCTTTCCTTCCTTCCTTCTTCTTCCTTTCCTTCACATTAATATTTTAAGACCACATATATATGTGTTGTCTGATTACACAAGTAATATTCATGAATATTCCATAATATTCATTATCAATATCTATGTGATTGTCAGTGTCCAGACCCCCTCACAGCCCAGCTCCCTTTCTCCTTCCCTACTTTCTGTCCTCCATTCTTGTGAAACATAAATAAGCTGGGGCAGGCCCTGGAGAGGAGGGGCAGGGGTCACTTTGACTCAAGCTTCACATTCACAGAGGGTCTCAAAATAAAGACCATTGGGGGGATTCTCAAATGCTATGCTATGGATTGAATTGTGTCCCCCCAAAAGTCATATGTTGGAGCCCTATTCCCCATTGTTGAAGGCGGGGCCTTTGGAAGATCATGAGGGTTGAGCCCCCATGATAAGAATAGTGTCCTTATAAGAAGAGACACTAGATCTCTCTCTTTCTCTCTCTCCTATGTGAAGACAGAAAATGGCTCTCATCTGTAACCCAGGAAGGGGCTTTCACCAGGAACCAAATTAGCCAGCACCTTGATCTAAGGTTTGCAGCCTTCAGAACTGTAAGAAATACATGTCTGTTGTTCAAGCCACTTGGTCTTGCTGGTATAGCAGCCCTCACTGACTAAGACCCCCCAGTCATATAGCTGCATCCACAAAACGGAAAAATGTGCACTACTGGACTTTACCTTGTTGCCTGTTTTCAGACCACACCCCTAACGTGTATTATGATTCCATACTTTTATAAATCTTATTATTGTCTCGTAAACAGTACGGTTATTTTGCATTGCTCATTTGGGGTTCTGTTAAAGGCACTTCTTTGTTAAATATAAACCTATACATTCACCCTGATTGGTGCATCTGTTTTGGAGTTTCTAAATTGTTTATGTAGTAGGTATTTCAACAGTAGAAGAGGTCTGTCCCTCCTTTGACACCCCAGAGCTTCTGACGAGTGTCTGCAAAATCAAGACCTTTCAGAACCCCACCACAGGCTGCGATAACAGCAGACACTGACTTGAGCACCAGAGGGCTTCTCACCCTTTCGCTATCCATGAGCCGTGTTTCTCTGCCCCTCACATGTAAACTAAATTGCCCTTTGCCAAGAGCTCTGGTTTCCCCCAATCTCAGTGTGTGTCTGGGCTCCATCTATCATCTGGCCAGATTTCTCAGCCTCCAGTGGCTCATGTGGATGGTCCGCCCGGCGGGAAAGCTCCGTATTTCCCCAGCTTACCTCACCCTCAGAAGGCCCTTCCAGAAAGCAGGAAACAGCAGCAACAGGCGGGGGCGCTGGGGAGTTTAGCAACATTCACAGGGGCTGGGCGGGGCTCCATCCCAAGGAAGTTGCAGGTCCAGACCACCTGCCCCATCCCGGTGCTCTGCCCAGATGTGTGTGCTGCACCGGTTCCCACTCCATATCTACACGGAGTCTACGAGCTGCTCTCCGACCTTGGGCTGGACGTGCTGGGACACCTCTCTTATCCTAAATGCAAGGGACCCACCTATCAGATGAGTCTGGTATGGAGCAAATCGCACTGGGGCGTCTGGTGGCTCCCTTCCCGGCGCGGTGAGAGGGGGACGGGCTGTGAGGCAGGTGCCCTGGGAAACATTTCCAGGGTCATCCTCCTTGTCTCTGCTTAGTCTGTAAGCGCAGGGGGCTCGCATCGGGGCTGCATGCCATGGCTGCACTTTAAAATCACCTGGAGAGCTGTTTCAGGCCTGTGCCTGTACCTCCTTGCAGACCAGTTAAATCAGAACCTCTGGGGTGAGGCCCGGGCCTGTGGCTGCACATTGCTCAGTTGATGCGGGCATGCCGACGGGCTTGGGGAGCCCTGGATGGGGGGATCTCCGAGGGCCCTCCTGTGTGTGACATTTGCCATCCCTGTATGACCCTGGGCTCTGGGAGAGGGTGGGCCCTCCCCTACCTCACACCCTCCCCTACCTCACACCCTCCCCTACCTCACACCCTCCCCTACCTCATGCCTCTTTTCCCCCAATAAAGGGATCCGGGAAAGCAGATGCATTTACAGTAAATGGAACCGAGCAAATGGAAATGAAACAGCACTTGATAACACTTTGCATTTGCAGAGCACTCAGGGCCCATGTGATTTCCTTAACAACCCATGGTAAATTGTACCGCGAGTATTATTTCTAGTAGAGAGGACTGGAAACACGCAAGGGCTGGCAGAGAGGTGGTCTTGGTGGGCCTTTTCCACCACCCTGCCTCCCAGCCGCTGGGCTCCAGCCTCTCCATCCCTTCAGACACACACCGGAGCACCTAACTCCACGCCGGGGCCGGGCACTGCAGCAGACACAGTCCCTGCCCCACTGGGGAGAGAACGACAAACATGGAAACACTCAACACAGCAAGTTGCGATAAGCACCACTGAGGAAAGCAGAGGGTGCCGTGCAGAGAACAGTGGTGACAGCCGGAGGTGAAAGCCCCTGGAGTCACGAAGTCCCCCCGGGGGGGACATCTAAGCGGAGACCTATAAACTAAAAGGGAAGCAGAGCTGTGAGGAGGCAGGAGACTCACAAATGGACAGCAGCCTGCACGGGTCCACCAGAGGCCCCACTAGGGTGTGGGATGGCCACCTAAGGATCAGATCTGTGGTGCAGAGAAGGAACGAGACGACTTCCCTCCACCACATGGCAGGGCTTCTAGCTGATGGACAGGAATCTACTCCCAGGGGCAAGACCTGCCTTAGGAAAGAGAGGAGTAAAACCCCTTCACCCGCAGAGGGTGCAAATTCCCCTCGGGCACCAGGACCCAGGAAGTGTGCTCCTCCCCCTGGGTTCTAGCCAGACGGGCCCTGACTGTCCCTGGCTAGTCCCACCATGCTGTAGCTCCCCAATGCTGAGGCTCCCGGGGGTTCCAGAATCTTCCAACGGCCCAGGCTTCTCTGAAGGCTGACTGCTCCTGACTCCAGATCAGGCTTCCCTTTACTATGGAGAGGGGCACAGGGAACATCTCCCTGGAACATAAATGAAGCCTCTTTTCCTTCCCTTGACAAAGCATTTCCTGGACCGCCCACTGCTGCCCCACTCACTTTTAGAGAAAGGCTGGTCTCTTTAAGATTTGGAATTGAGGCTTCTGCAGGGCCCTCCTTGGGCTCCACAGGAAAAGCTGGCCGGGAATGTCAAGGGTTCTGCTAATTTCACTCCATAACTGCAGTAGCAGCTTCATATTTTACCACTAGATGGCGCCCTTCACCTGTGCAGCTCACAGTTCCAATCATTTCATTTGGTTCAAGGCTGTTCAGAAATTTTTTTCCAAAGCAGAGAGAGATCTTCTATAGGAAGCGGCCATAGGCTGAAATCAGAGAAGCCCTTGGAAATCTGGCTTCATCTATACCTTCCTTGATTAGCAACTGTGATAGGGTGAAGATGTTTGCACAACAAACATGGCAGATCTGAACTATGGATACAAATGTAGTCCGCTAGAAAATGACCCCTTACGTAAAGAGCCATTTGGAAAAGTGGCTTAACTCGTAAGACAGGCCAGAGGCATTAACTCTGGACAACCAGGCTGAAAAAGTCCTTCAGCCTGGTCATTGTCATCATTTTGCTTGATGAATGGTAGCCTGGTTGCAACTGATTAGCCCCAGACACACAAACCAAAAGGACTGGGTAAGAATGAGGGTAGGTAATGACACCTTCTTTGACATGTGGGAGCAGAGCTGAGATGGTGGGGGTGTAACCGGAACAGAAAGACACCAGCTCTCTTCAGAGTCCACATTTAGCCCAAGAAACAGAACTCTCCAGAAAACAGATACAAGATACACATTTTTTCACATCTTTGCATGTATAAACTTTGCGTGTATGAACAGGATACTTGAGAAGCAAACAAACTTTGGAAGCGTGAAGCTTTCATAGATACAAAATCAGCTCAAGGAACCTTCCCCTTCTGAACTAACATCGTAGGACTCTACAAAAGGAGTCATTAGCATGCTTCGAAGATGATCAGGAGACAAAACCATGGGATAAACTTGTACTGTTCACATTTTTACTTACTAGGAACCTGTTTCAAGGAACTCCCAACTTTCCTCAGAATCGGGAAGGTTTTTAACAGGTAGTCTTTGGGCATTTTGTCATCATCATGCAGACAAACATCCTTGGGTGCCTGGTCACTGTACTTCATAATTTTCACTCAAATTTATAGCCACAGGCGTCACCTACTGAGAAAGGTAAGGGACGTAGCTATTGGGGTTTTTGTTTTATTTTTTTTTTAATATTTTTATTTATTTCTAGGAGAGAGAGAGGGAGAGACAGTGTGAGCAGGGGAGGGTCAGAGAGAGAGGGAGTCACAGACTGAAACAGGCTCCAGGCTCTGAGCTGGCAGTCAGCACAGAGCCTGACGCGGGGCTCGAACCCACGAACCGTGAGATCATGACCTGAGCGAAAGTCGGACGCCTAACCGACTGAGCCACCCAGGTGCCCCTGGTTTTGTTTATTTTTTAAGACTTTATTTTTAAGTAATCTCTACATCCAGTGTAGGACTCAAACTTATATGACCCCTAGATCAAGAGTCTCCTGCTCTATCTACCCACTGAGCCAGCCAGACACCCCCGGGCTTTGTTTTTAGAACGTGCCGGCAGCAAACTCAGGATGGTCCAATAGAAAGTAAAGTTAGAACATCACTCATTTGGAAAGGTGGCCGTGAAGAAATGTGCTTCCCGGAGAGTTTTGGAGATTGGCCGGACAACAGTATTAATGTACTTGATACTACCGAATTGTGTGTTAAGTTAACTTAAAATGGTTAAGATAGTAAAATTTATATTGGATGCATTTTACCACAACTAAACATTTTAAAATTGAATTAAGAAAAAAAAAATTTAAGTGCTTCCCTTAATACACTTCTCCATCCTGGTCACCAGCTAAAACATGTATCTTGTCGCCATTGGCACAAATTCTGTGTAAATTGCATACACTCTCAGCAGTACTAACTATAAACATCTTCTGAGACTGTCTGGTTCTCCAGAAAGCTGCTTTGACCATCCTCATAAATGAAATGGACTGGCCCAGATGAGCCCATTGATTGCCTAGAGATCACTCCTTATGACACCAGAAAGATAGTCACAATGAGCCCTGTGACAGTAATCATCTTTCCATCCCTATTTTTTGGCCCAGAATGGAAACCAAATTATGGTTTTCATTATGGATGACATAATTCTGGCTGAATGAAAAATACCAGAAATGCCGTAAAAGGGGCCACAGGAAGTCCAGAACTATCAAATTGTCAGTCTTTCAGAACCCCTCTGCTCTAAGCTGATCCCAAAGAGTCATGCATTGTAGAGACAGGATAATGACACCCCTACCCACCATCAGAAGAAAGCATCTATGTCCTAATCTCCAGGACCTAGAGATGGATGGATTTAAGATTGCAAATCAGTATGAGTCCATGAGATTATCTTGGATTATCTAGAAGGACGCTGTATTGACAGGGGTCCTTAAAAGTGGAAGAAGGGTCGAGAGATGAGGTGAGAGTGATGTGGTATGAGAAGATCTCAGCACACACTGAAGACGGGGAAAGGGGCCACAAGCCAAGGTATGTGGGCAAACTCTAGAAGCTGGAAAAGAAAACAGATTCTCAGATCCATATTACCCTTCCAACCTACAGAAATCCAAGGAATAAATCTGTATTGATTTAAGCCACTACATTTCTGGGAATTTATTGCAGCAGCAATAGAAAGTGAACACTTCTATGAGCCAGGCACTGAGCCAGCTATAATAGGGTGCCAAGATGTCCCAGTACTCCAGTGTCACATGGTCCAAAAA